TCAACATTTTTCTTATGCTCTAATGTAATGACATGACAAAATACTAAATTCACAAAACTAAAACTAAATTCACAAAACAACATTTTTTTTCCTGGTAGTCAGGAGGATAAGATTTGTGTGAGTGTGTGTGTGTGTGTGTGTGTGTGTTGTAATTTATGTCAACACACAAAAAGCTGAATTTTCAGCAGCCATGCATTATTCCAGTCTTCAGTGTCACATGATCCTTCAGAAATCATGATTTGATATCTGATTTGCTGCTCAAGTAACATTTCTTCTTATGATCAATGTTGAAAACTGGAAACCATGATGCGTTTTTTTCAAGATTCTTTGTTGAATAGAAAGTTCAAAAGAACAACATAGAGAATTATTTTGTAACATTATAAATGTCTTTACTGTCACTTTTGATCAATTGAATGCAATCTTGTTAAATAAAAATAATAATAATACTAAAAAAAAAATCCTACTGACCCCAGGCTTTTGAATAGTATATGGAAAAATATAAACATATTGACAATAATTGTTTGTATTGTTAAATGTAAATATTGGTGTGAAAATATAGCCTCAGTAAGCGATTAAAGAGCAAGTTATAAGCCACCAAACAATCAAGGCTACCATTATACAACTTTGGAAAAAACTTAAATCGAGCTGACATAATTGGTAAACTCTAAACTTCTAATTCTTTCATATTGGCTATGTGTCTTCAACTTCAAAAGATTTGTGAGCTCAAAATCTCAGACTGCTAATGTGTCTTACTGTTAAGCCCATCTAGTGGTTTAAACACAGTACTGTTTCAAATAATAATAAAAAAAAGTAATGTCATAAGATATGTATTCCCTTGAATTCAGAAGCATATGCGTAATTTCATTATTTATATGGTTTTCGTCATTTATATGGCATATATTTCGGCAAGTTATTTCAATTAAAAAAATTATTTAATTATTTTCTCAGTTAACACAACCAAATCATCTTTATAAATCTATATGTGAATGATCAAAACTTTGGATAATGTAGAGCCTTGTTTATCAGGTTAAAATTAAATTGTCAATATTGTCAAATATATATAGAAAATATTATCATGGCCTCAACAGCTTGTCATTAATGTGAGCACTAACCCAGCTCCATGCCATTAGCGAGGGCCACAGTTCCAGCAGAGTGTAGGAGAGTCAGATGGAAGACAGCCTTCATTGACGGCTCATCAAAGCAGGGGAAAGCGTTCCGGGCGGCAGTGGGCTGCATTTGTGTTGTGGCAACAACTCTGCCAAAATGAAAGTTATCTCAGTTAAACGTGACATTTTTCTAGCTTAGCTTGCAAGTGAGTGAAGCGAGGCCAAGTATGGTGACCCATTCTCGGAATTAGAGCTCTGCATTTAACCCATCCAAGTGCGCACACACAGTAGTGAACACACTCACACCGTGAACAGTGGGCGCCCGGGGAGCAGTTGGGGGTTCGGTGCCTTGCTCAAGGGTCTCACCTCAATCGTGGTATTGAGGGTGGAAGAGAGCGCTGTACATTCACTCCCCCCACCGACAATTCCTGCCGGACCTGAGACTCGAACCCATAACCTTCAGGCTACAAGTCTGACTCTCTAACCATTAGGCCACGACTGCCACGACTGCCCCCTTTGTTCAAAATTCAGTATGTAATTCAAGGGAACCATTCCATGCAACATTTTGCATTTAGCAGATGCTTTTATCAAACTTTCAATAATTATAATAAAATTATAAATTAATCAAAATAAAATTATAATAATTGTAAAATGTTACAGCAGTGACTTATGGTGTGTTTTTATAATTCATCCCAAACTTTTTAAAGCTTTTTTTTTTTTTTTTGAACCATTAAATATTTCTTTCCTAATTTTTTTAGAAATTCAGTTTTGTATGACCTGATATTAAATATTGAGATACATAAAACATTTGTACACCACAGTAAAAATTTTAATGAACTTAAAAAAATTTTTAATAAATCTAAAAGTTGATTCAAATTTGTGGAAAAAAACATACTGTTTAAGAACTGGTTGCAGGATCTAAAATACCTTTACTTTATACATAAGTATACAATAAATAAGCAAAGTTATTTGTGTACAAAAATTTTTGTCAACTACCCACTTAAATAATTCTTAATTAATTATACATGATTTCATTATATATTATTGTATATTCATACAATTTATTAAGTTTGTATTATGGTTGCTCATTTAATAAATTAGTATTATAAGAATTTACTTTTCAACCCTTTCTTAGCAAAGTAATGTCAGCAGTAATAAAAGTTACGTCTTACTTTTTTACACCATTTTCTGTGTATTGGCTTCTGTAAAATCCTCCTAGGTCATCGGACAGCTCTCCATGGAATTCCATGTAGAGCCAATAAGATTTTCCAACTTGTAGTTTTTCTTTCAGAAGAATCACCATGAACTGTGTTTGTATTTGAAACCAGGTTTTCAGTATGACCGGAGCGCTTGTCCCTCCCAAACCCGTTAGCTTTGCATGGTGCATCTCCGAGGTCAAGGTGAAGTTCAGCTCATTGGAATGAATAATGATCAGGTTGGTTTCCTTGACGCACGTCAATGCAACTCCAGATTTCCCAGTGAAAATGTACATTCCCTGCTCGTCCGGCACCAACCGAGGCCAAAGCGTCACGTTGTAGTATTCAGGAAGAAGGGTGTCAGGCAGTCTGTACTTGTCCCAGGGCTCGTTCGATGGAGCTGAGGTGCTGTGGGGTGCTGCAGTCGTCACCATGCGGGTCCCGTCTCTGGCATTTACCTCGTTTTTCCGTTTCTCTTGAGAATAGACCACTGACAAAGCAAAAATGGTGAGCACGGCCCCAACGCCTAACCCAAATAGCACAAACCCTAAAGGCTTACTGATATAAAAGCCTTTCCCCATGACCGCAGAGTTAAAATGAAGTCTCAGCAGTTAATGATGGGGCCAGGACAGGATCAAGTCTGTGCAGACAGTCATGAAGTGCGTGTGATTAAATAGTGGTGACTGTGATGAATCATGCTGTGGTTGTGTCCATGCCACTTCTGCGGAAAACAGTTACTCAAGCTCTACATGTTTGCATAGTTCTCATTTTCAAATCAACAAAACAATGGCAAATATGTCTTTATACTTTGCATTTGACTTGACTTTGCATGTGACTTTTTGTTTGCCAAGTTAAACTGGGTCACTGGGCTTATTGGTGATCGTTTCAGGGTAATTACATTACTCTTGAGTCTTGAAATCACTTTATGCCTGTTCCAAGTTAATATTTCAAATATTATGAAACAGCCTCCTGGCTTTCGTGTGGTTATGACAGTGGTTGACATTGGAAAAAGATCCAGCGGATGTCACCAAGTATCACTGTATCCTTTAACATATTTTAAGGTTACGTGCCATTATGACAATGTATAAGCTCTTTCAGAAAAGAGGAAGATGCACACTAAAAATATGCAGACCAAGTTACACAGCTCGAAATGATGATTTCAACATGTTTCTACAACTCTGAAAAAAATGATGTATTGAATTTACTACATTTTTAAGGTAAGTGGTTGCAATCAATTTATTTTTAGCTACATTTAAATAAACAAATTTAGTTGACTAACTTTCTACATATTTATTTTATTTAAATGTAGCTAAAATAAATTGTTTGCAACCACTTACCTTAAAAAAAAATTTTTTTTCAGTGAACTTAAGTATTTATTCCAGAAAAAAAAGACAGATGTAAAATTTTATTTATCTGCCTTAAAAACCATTTAAAAGTTTGTGGTCAGTAAAAAGTCTCTTATGCTTACCAAGGCATATTTATTTGATCACAAATACAGTAATATTGTGAAATATTATTACAATTTAAAACAGCTATTTTCTATTTTAATATATTTTAAAATGTAATTAATTCCAGTGATGGAAAAGCTGAATTTTCAGCAGCTCAGGTAACCTTTCTTATTATTATCAATGTTGAAATCATGCTGCTTAATATTTTTGTGGAAAACATTTTTTAAGGGTTCTTTTTTGAATAGAAAGTTCAGAAGAACAGTAGTTATTTGAATTTACATTATAAATGTCACTTCACTCTCACTTTGATCAATTTAATTCACTTGCTGAATAAAAGTATTATTTTCTTTAAAAAAAAAAAATTACTGACCCCAAATTTTTGAATGGTAGTGTATGCTTATACTTTTACATATTATCAATATTTCAGAATCCATTCAATAATAGCAAATTAACAATAAAAACATTTTATTAAGAAAATATGAAAGGCGGTTGCTCATACACAATTGTTTATGAGTATGCATTGCTAAACGCTTGCTTGAGTGTTCAGGGTGTTTGCTGGGATGCTACTTACTCAAGTCAATTTTTGGGGGGTTTTCCGGGCCCTAAATCTGGCTTGGATCATATGTATCTATAGGAAGTCCAAACGCTTATAAACATATAGCACACCTCTCCTGAACAACCTGCATGATTTGAGGTATTAATGATGTCCATTGCAGATATTGTGCAGGATGAGACTGAATATGAGCAATAACAATAATAATAGTGATGCTTGACTTAGCAACACCACTAATTATACACAAATTCTGAAATGGGTTCCCTGCTTATTCAATGCTGAGGGATCCACTGTCAATGTATTTTGTATAGTCTTTTATGTAAGGTCCTCCTCATTTGCATCCTAGTGATGTGATCGAGTGGTTAAATATCAGAGCGCTGTTGTGTCCTTGAGCAATACATTTCTCGGGTTGCTCCAGGAGGGCTGTCCTTGTGATATGAATGATCCTTGGGTAAAAACATCCTGCCAAAATGCTGTTAGCATCCATTCATTTTCGTTCCATCAGGTTGCAGGATGATGAATTAATGTGAGTACACCAAATACACAAAATAATGTTCTTTTTAACAACATCATATGACCCCTTTAACCAAAAATGAAAATTCTGTCATAATCCCTACCATTCACAGGTTTGAGTGTCAATAAGATTTTTAATGCGTAAGTGATGACAGAATGATTAGTTTTGAACTTCCAGTTGAAATTACTGAAGTAGTATTTGAATTACTCTGATCTCACAGCACAGAGATCCCGAGCCGAATCTGGTCTCAGCGTTGTCCTTTTGAAAGCGTTTCAACTGAGCAAAGACAGCAAGGATTTAACACTTAAGTCAGGTTATGTCTCATAAGCCTCTCACAGTGCATGCAATAGATTTTTGCTGAGTGGTTCTAAGGTCAAAGGTCATGTACCTGACTGAGTTCGAATGGTGTGCAGAATCTGTTGGTGACGTCACTAATTAATCTGGAGAAAGTGAATGATCCAGTGCCGTACCTGTTGAGTAATACCAAAAGTGTATACTTTCACATATTTTTCTCTTTCTCTCTTTGTGAGTGTGTGTTATGGTATTTGGCATACTTACAATTGAAAGAAATAGTCCCAGTTTGCCCGGACAAAGTCCCATGCCAAAGGTTGGCCAATAATATTACTGGCAATGTACCCAATGGTAGAAGTGGCGTCCTGTTTGCGTATCTTTTCTGGGTTCATAGTATATTCCAGGTACCTTATTAAAACATGAAACAATTTACAAGTTATACTCCACAGTACTAAAATGCATGTGCACAAACTGTTCAAAAATACATTAGAAATGCAATTCAAACAGGAGATGACTTGAACGCACAATTTCTATAATAAACATATTTCTAATTTCTGAATTAAAATTAATTTTGATATTTGTTTGGTGGGGCTTAAAGTAAAAAAAATTTGATTCTCTTAAAAAGTACAATTAAAAAAGGCTGAAATACTCTAAAAGTAAGCAAAAAAATACTCTATTTTTTTGCCATAATCTTTTACTGTAATACATTAAAAAGCATATTGCATAATAAGCATATGAATATTAAGCAATATTACTATTTGATAAAAAATACTTTATTGTGTTAAAATATGTATTTGTCTTATAGGAAAATTATAAAACTGGAAATGATATTCAATGATATACAGATAGGATGCTTAAAAATATCAGAACATGACATGACAAGTTCTGTTCAGGTTTATTAGGTATAACCCCCAAAAATGTGTTTGTCATTGAAAAGTGGACATTTTTTCTTTCCTTCATTTCAGACATCACGTCTTTGACCCTTATGCTTTCCCAGAGCTACCTGTTCAGTAACCAGGGCACTTTGGTGCAAGCCAGAGCCGATCTCAGTTTGACAGCTTCAGCTGCGACTGTGGCCTTCTGGAACATCTGCCAGCCAAAGTTCCATTCTTCTGCACCGCCTGCAGCGATGGCGTCACAGTACACCGTCGACCTCAGGTTAGGATGAATCCTGAACACAGTTTATTTTCATGATTTATTTATTTGATAAAAAATACTGTAAAAATGTCTCATGTGACTCTGAAGACTGGAGTAATGATGCTGAAAATTCAGCTTTGCATTACAGGAATAAATAATATTTTAAAATAAAACAGCTGTTTTAAATAGTAACAATATTTCACACTTTTTGGTGCTCAAGATCCTTCAGAAATCATTCTAATATGCTGATTTGCTCAAGAAACATTTCTTGTTATTATCAATGTTGAAAACAGTTGTGATTCTTATTTATTTATTTTTATGGAAACCGTGATACATTTTTTCAGAATTTTTTGATGAATAGAAAGTTCGAAAGAACAGCATTTATTTGAAATAGAAATCTTTTTATATATGTCTTTACTGTCACTTGTGATCTTTTTAATGGATCGCTGCTGAATAAATGTATAAATTTATTTATTTTCTTTTTAATCTTACTAAACTCAAACTCTTAAACTGTAGTGTACATGCAATGTGCAATATGTATATTTTAAATTTTTGATATTTTAATTTTGCATCAGAGAGGCGTATCAGAATATTAGAGGTGTTTCTGCTCTTATTGTGCACAATAATGTTGCACTGTATTAAAATGTTTACATTTGTAAACTTTTATCAAAATGTAATAATTTGCTATAACTATGAAATTACTTTGCTTTTCAGATGATGTTACAAATCACTTTTCAACCCCTCTCTTCCAATCACCTGCCTCTGTTCTGGTATGTACACTGTAAATAGGTTGCTGTAAATTTTACAGTAACTTACTGGCTTCTCTTTTGTCCTTATACCGCTGCTTCCACCAAACAGTAAACAAAAGAAATCTCCCTTGCCATTGGTCAGTTTTTCGCGGGCAAGTTCACTACTGTAAATTGATTTACAGTAGTGAGGAAATACAGTAGTGACCGTATATTTTCCCATAATCCTTTGCTGTTTACAGTAAAATACTGTATACACATTTTACAGTATCTTACTGTACATATTACAGTAAAATACTGTTCAAATTACAAAAGTCAGTTACAGTGTAACACTTACTTTTTACACTCACCAAGTCACATGTTTTCTCATCGAATATCTTGTTTCACTCTGAAATGCAGCATCACATTAAGGAAGTAAAATGAGTTGTGAGTACGTAGTGTTTGACTTTAAGATCTAAGTTTAACTAACTTGTACACAAGATGAACCTTAGCACACTCTGACTTAAAGAATTATAAACTTTTCTTTAAAAAAACAATCAGGTAATAATTAAATAATTTGTTCACTGTGTAAAATGTCATTTCCTCCACTGATATTGAATGTCAAGCACTTGAAACTTCTCAAAAACACAACACGTATTGTACAATACAACATTTTGAAGAACTGGTGGTATAAGTTACTAATCTCTAAATTGCTTATAGGACATGATATGCAATTATCCACAAAGGAAATTACTTAATTTAAACCTTAAAAAACCTTTAAAAGGTTTGCACTCACGCATTGTTAGCGCAATGATCTGTGTGAACCTGAGGATAAAAAAAAACAACAGCTTATTTTTAAATATAACTTTATCTAATATACTGTAAATCAAATTGAGTCTGGGAAACATGTGACATATGAAAAATGTGTCCTTACTGATCAGTGTGGCCAGAAGGAACTGTTGTCCAGTTTGAGCTGATAGTCCCAAAATATTCAAATAGCGGTTTGACTTGTTTCTTAAGATAAGCCTGAAAGAAATACGACCAGCAGTCCCTGTAATTTATCTGTTTTACTTCAGGTTTGATTATAAAAATGAGATTTAACCAACCTGCATTGCATCGTATACTTCACTGTGATCGAACAACTGGAAAAAATAGTTCAGATTGCGAAGCGCTGCCTCCCATGGAATGTATTCCTGCTCATGCAGGAGATATTTAGTTGTTCTCAAAGCGAGTGTTATGTTTCTAATGGATGCTCTGGAAAAATAAACAAAAATTTACAGTTTTATATGGAATCCAGTCATTCGCATTTTTTACCTGTGAATTTCCATGACCAGTTAAATTGTTTTTAATTACTGGATAGATACAGACTTCTAAAAATCACTTTGATTCAGACTGATTTACTAAATTAGACTCATTATTTAGACTGAATTGCAAAGCAGTTTAATTGATTCATAGCAATGAACTGACTCAATTCACTCACAAATCACACTAACAAGGTTTGCAAGATGTATTCCACACAAAAGCAATTTGTAGCAGATGAAATATTTTTGAGCAGCATATAACTAGAAAAATTAATATAAATTGTATTATTATAATTTTTTTTTAATTTGATACATTTCCATTACTTTCCCAAGCCCAAAATGTATTTCCAAGACCGTGAGAACCCTGAAACATACAAAAATGTAGGGTCGGTAAGATGTTTTACTGTTTTTTAAATAAGTCTCTTATGCTCACCAAGGCTGCATTTATTTGATCAAAAATACGGTAAAGCAGTAATATTGTAAAATATTACTACAATTTAAAGTTACTGATTTCTATTGTAATATTTTATTTGAATAAATTATTTAATATTCTATTTTAATATTTCAAAATGTAATTTATTCCTGTGATGCAAAGCTTTTCAGCATCATTCCTCCAGTCTTCAGTGTCACATGATTCTTCAGAAATCATTCTAATACTCTGATCTGCTGCTCAAGAACGATTTCTTATTATTATCAGTGTTGAAAACAGTTGTACTGCTTAATATTATTGTGGAAAATTTGATACATTTTTTTTTACAGGAATAGAAAGAACAGCATTTATTTGCAATATATTTTTTGTAACATTATAAATGTCTTTACTGTCACCTTTGATTAATTTGATGCACCTTTGCTGACTAAAAGTATTAATTTCTTTTAAAAAAAAAACACTTTTGAACATTTGTAGTGTACATGCAATGTGCAATAACTCCCACCTTGCTAGATTAAATGTATCATCCAGAATCTGAGCTCGGTTTACCACAGGTATCACCTATGTAAGAAAAGACATTTAAAAATAGTTTATATGTCTTTTTGGCACTTTTGTGACTGTTCTTTCTCATAATTGTCATGCAGGACCTGGTGATTTGACTCCAGTTGGCTGAGAAGTCGCTCCCAGTTCACAAGGTCGTAGTTCACTCTGAAGTATCC